TTATTTATTTTTTAGAGAGCGAGCGAGAGAGAAACAGCGTGAGAGGGGAGAGGGTCAGAGGGAGAAGCAGGCTCCCCGCTGAGCCGGGAGCCCGATGTGGGACTCGATCCCAGGACCCTGGGATCATGACCTGAGCCGAAGGCAGACGCCTAACCATCTGAGCCACCCAGGCGCCCAGCCTTCATCTTTTTAAGCATTTTTAACCCTAATCGGTAGTGTCTACTCTTCTTCTGTGATTCTGTGGTTTCTGTGAGTGTCAGGAATTTTTAGTTTATCTTTGTTTTATTCTTCTTGAGAATCATGATCTGTTTTGGCAGTTCTGCCTTTGGTAAAAGTATGCAGTTGACTTGGGTACCCAGATGACATCAAGTAGGCTAAAAAAAAATGGAGTAATGAAAAGTTACATTAGAGATCCACTGGCATGTTCACTTTTTGGCCCTTTTTGATGTTTTACTTTAGCCAGGCATCTCAGAGGAGGCAAGGGTTCTTATCAGACCTTGAATCCTATTGAAAATTGGATGTTAGGATAGATGACACATACCTTTCCATAGTACCAGTATTGCCACCAGTTGCTTTATACAACACATCTCTGTGGTATTTTACATCTCCATGGTGTATGTTGGTATATGTTGAAACATTTTAGATATAAAAAACTATTGCATTACAAAAATCCTATAGTTGGCTTATGATGTCTCGGTAGCCCCAGTGTAGCTCTTCTTTGGGTGCTCATGTCTTACTTTTCCTGCTTATTCACAAGATCATCTGTTTAAGAAGAAAGCTAGTGTAGTGATATAAGTCAGGAAACATGCACAGTTTATTTTGTCACTTGGAAATACTTGTTTCCTAAAAAATGGTTCAAACATTTTTATAGGAAGATTAATTTTTGCAAAGTTGTCTTTTTTCCTTAAATAACTTACCCAGCTGTTAAACAGTTCCAAAGTGAAGTTAATCAATACCCTGTGCATTTAGTTCCTTGATTCTTTTGATCTCTATGCCATGCTGTTTTACCATTAGAGTTAAGACAGAGTAATGAACCAAAGAACAAGAAGTGAAAAAAAAGTGAGTTGCTTGCTTCATTGACAATAGACCATTTATCTTCTGTCCGTTATTTTTTTAAGGTACTAGGAGTCTTTGATTTTTTTTTTTCCCCAGTCACTTTTTGGAGCCTATATTTTATATTTATTTTATTGAATAATTTATTCCCTCAATATTTAATGGAGTCATTTATTTTGTCTACTTCATTGAATTCCATGCCAGTGCAAGAATTATAAACCAACTGGTTGAAGCTACAGAGGGCATTTAATTTGGTTCTGATCTGTCTCCTCTCTCCATCAGTTTATAATGGTACTTGGTTTGTACCACTTGGCAGCTACCCTCTCTCTGCCCTTTTTTAAAATGTATTTTCAGATACAATTAGAATAATTCTTTTAAAACTCTCTGTGGGGGGCGCCTGGGTGGCTCAGTCGTTAAGCATCTGCCTTCGGCTCAGGTCATGATCCCAGGGTCCTGGGATCAAGCCCCG